TTTTTTTCGTCTTCTTTTACTGTGGTACGTTTCTTTTTGAGTTGGTTATGTCTCGAAGCCCTTGGACGTACGCAGATGGTAAAGCACCAAGAAATTTATTAATGTATTTTGTCGTAGTTTGTATATGCCACGACCTCAAGAAAAGTCGCTGTCAGTGGTTGGTTTTAACCTCGAAAGGAGAGGATCCGACAACACCGAAACGACGACCGAAAGTTTGACAACGAGCGCAGCGCAACTCTGCGAAGTCAATGATCGCCGCACTAACTTTAAGGACAGCCCATTTCGGACATGGTACTGTTTAGGGGGCCATCACAAACACGCATTTCACAAAATTCAGGATTCAATAAAGAACCAGAAAACTAGTTCCTGTGGTAAAGGTTTCTATTAAACCTCCAGTTGAACATACAAAAAAAAATTAAAACAAACTTTATGATAAATGTTATTCACACTCTACTGTATTTTTAATATATATCTTAAGAGCATATTTTTTTCTCTATCTTAACTAAAATATAAAATGTATAACTTTAATTTGTAGATATGATTCTTAGCTTTCCAAAAATATTAGAATTATTAAGAAATATTCATCCATCGTAAGAAACAGCTTGCCAAACTTTGCTCAATATTCTATAGTTAGATCTGTACATGAGAACCATCCAAAATTCAATGTGGTGGTAAGATGAACGGAAATATTTTGTTCTAAAGCTGCTAATTTGCTTACAATAACAGTTCTTTTTTCCATTTTTGATATTGAGGCAGTCTAGAATCATTTATTAATTGTTAATATTTGGAGATTAATAAACATTGTGTCGGTATGTTTATAATAAGGTGCATTACATATTACTCTCAACCTTATCTTTTTGTGAAGCAAGTAAATTTTATCCAAATGAGATTCCGTCTATCCCAGACAAGGCTCTAGTAACTTAAGTAAAAATACAATAAAGCATTTCTAATTAATGTTTTCACACCAGTTAAAAGAGGAGCTTTGGCGGTATGTCAAGCACACTCCACGTGACAGCTATGAGACAGGGTAACTTACAAGATTGTCCCATGACATAATTTCAAAAAATACAAAGCCAACTCTTTCAAAAGTATTAACAACCTATATCGAATTCATGTAAAATATCTGCGTTTACATGTTCATCTCTGTTGGTAGAGGCAAAAAGTATGCTGATGATGTCTGTGTAGAAAAACAAATTTAGCAACAGGGTCTATATTTGCAACGTTGTTTAATTAGAAGTGAAAAAGAAGAGGCGCTAAAACATTTCCTTGTGGAACAACTCAAATGATGTGCTTCCTATCTCAGATATACCCCGAAATGTTAGCACGTAGCTAACGGTGACATAAATATGATCTAAAGTTAATAACATTGCTAGTCTTCAAATACCATAATATTCAATGATATGAAGAAAATAATCTGGCCAACAAAAGGAAATGCTTTCGTAAAATGAACAAACACACCAACTATCTTATTTTCCTCTAAGTTTTGTAATATTCTGATTTAACAAGGGTAAATCTGCTGAGCAATGTTTTCTGAAGCCAAGCTGAAAGGGGGAGAGTAAACTATACTTAGATAGTTTCAAAACGTAGAAATTCGTTCTAGGCATCTGGAACATACAGGAAGGATAGAAGTAGGTCTATAATTATTGAATATTTAAAATCTCATTTTTTATATAAAGAGGATATTTTGCTACCTTAGGGAATATCCCTAAGGCGTGACAGATAGAAATAGCAGATAGAAAGCTCACTAAATGACTTAGCTGTAAATGAAAAATTAAAATTAAACTAACATTGTTCTTTAAGAGAATAGATACAAGATTAGCAAGATTTTTTTTAAATATTCAACTTTATTACGTTTAGCATACCATATGTTTTTATGTGCCTTGAATACTTCTTTCTAAATCGAATAATACATTTTAAATGTATCGGACACGTTGAGCTGTGATGGCATCTTAATGTGGTCACAAAACACTTCCCGAACTGTGCCATATGATAAAAAAATAAACGTATATGGGCATTGAAAACAAAATTCCCATAAGATACGTCCTAAATGAAAATAGCAAAAAAAAAAAAAAAAAAGAATCTTGACACACCCTTATGTTTTCGTTTTTTTTAAAGTTTCCATTAGCTTACGTTGTCTGGAGGAGGGAAGGCATCAGACAATGAAACTTTCACAGAAGGAAGAAGCACCAAAACTGACGCATATTCTGAGTCCTGCCCGAGAGCCCCTAAACGCGACGCGAGTAAACGTCGGGGGTGTAGCTCAGAGGTAGAGCGTTCGCTTCGCATGTGAAAGGCCCCCGGGTTCGATCCCCGGCACCTCCACTTTTCTTTTACAGTTTGCGAATTTGATCGTCTTGACCGGGAAGTTGTCATCACCTGGTCCTCTCAGTTTCACAGAATCCATGTTTTTGACATCTTTTTTTTAATGTACATTGTTTATATTTGTACATAATCTGTATTCTTGTCATTTAACTACCTACAATAATGCCATCTGGCGATGTATGTATCTCAGTAAATAAGTAAAATAATTAAATAAGCTGTAATGAGATGGTTGAGCGTGTTTGTTTCTAATTTGCGATAACGAGAGAGGGACATGTGCAGAGTGATCGACACAGGAATAATCAGCAAATCATTTTCACTGCATTGTACCTTGAATTAAATACCTGCAATAAGGCCTGCGAACATCTTCCTCTTCCTCCATAGGAAGTTATCCCAGTCGGTGTGCACAAACTCAGCAATTAGACTTGAGTGTCCTTCGTTGATTGGACACGAGACCCAGCCAACGCTGACGCATCAGTCGTGACCAATCCGCGTCTTCTTCCAATATCACTATGATGATTTCAAAATTTGAATGCACAGTCTTTGGTTATTCTAGGTAGTGGGGACTCCGTTAAATTTGTGGACAGTGTGATGTACTTTTTTCTGTTTAGTGCGTCAAGTGTAACTCGATTGACGACGGCATTTCCGGCATTGTGTCATTGCAAAAAAACGTCAATCTTCAAAGAACGTAGTCGCATTTTTTTTATGCGTTGGCATTCGGACGCTCGTTTCGCCGAAAACCCGGCGGTGTCTGTAAGTTCGTTAGGGCCGGGGAGAGAGGGAGAAGGTTGGGGGAGTGGGTGACCCTTTCGACGCTCCCATTGGTCCGAAGCGCTGACGTCAGCGCGAGTAGTCGTTCCCTTCCTCTCTCTCCGGTGTTGACGAGCTGACAGTTACCACCGGCTTTTCATCGAAACTAGCATCTTCGTTTTCGTCAAAGGAGCGTCGCACAGCTGACGCGGAGCCAGAGAGGAGGAGGCGCCGTGGCGCCGTGGAATTCATGCGTGCTCAGTTGCTTCTCTGCGTCGCCGTATTTTCTTCGCTGTAGGTTTCCGTCGTTGCTGTGTGTGGGATGTGATGTGGGTGTGTAGTTAAAACAATGGATCTGCTTCCTTCCACGAGTGAAATGGATGCGGTTCCTTTCACGAGTGGCATCTGTGTGGCTCTTCGCACGAGTGATAGGAATGATCGTATCCAAGGGCGTTGACGTACTCCGACAGGCAAAGTATAGAAAGTGAATGAACAAATTAAAGACGCTTACAATCTTGTGTAACGCCAATCGCGACGTCACACATAACGTCAAGAGGGTAAATTTAGCCGGAATAGTTTTCCGCCAAATTTAGTGGGAATATTGGCAATGTTGGATGCGTGTGGCGTCACCTGACGTTACACGTGACGTCATACGTCACGTGTTTCCTATAATGGCGTCACACGTAACGTGACGTGTTACGTCACGAGGGTAACGTCCTTACGTTACCCTCGTGACCCTCGTGAGGGTAACCCTCGTGACTCTCGTGAGGGTAACCGTCGGGACGTCATACGTGACGTCACGTGTGACGTTATTATGGGAAACGTCCCATAATGTAACGCGCGGTTACGCTGACGGCTAGGCCGCTTAATCCGGAAACAAAAGCCTAAAAACTGTGCCTTCAAAAAAAAAAAATTACACTAATATTTATTGGTGGATTCTTCAAGAATGCGTTAGCGTGACCCCTGGATAACGCCACACAGGTCCCGCTTTGGGAAACGCTAACACTGACCCCGTAACGAGGCTAAATAGAGGCAGCACAAAAATAGAGGAAGCAAAAGAAGAGGTAAAAAAAAGAAAGTCAACAATAGAAACCCCTGGAGAACAAGAACAAGGGGGACAAAGGACAAACTTAAATCTCCAAGCATAGCTAGGTGACTGATGCGAGTCTGAAAGATCCGCCTGGTGCTGGTATCGAATCAAGGACCTCTCCAGAGAAATTCAAAACATAAAAGTGAAGGGGTCAGCGTTAACGTTTTAACGCTGACCCCTTAACGTGTGTGTTTTGCGTTTATCAAGGGTCATGCTAACGCATTCCCGAAGAATCCACCAATGAATACTCCTGTAATTTCATAGTATGCTTGGGAAAAGAGCATGTTGGCTCAAGTGATGTAAGAAGAAAGAATAAACATTTAAGACTGGGAATTAAGATGCGGTTGTCTTGTCCCAGTCTTAGTTGTTTATTCTCTCGTCTTCCATCATTCCTCATAGTATGTTGCAAAGGCTCTGTGTTGTAGTTGTGAGGAACTAGGAGTGGCTAGCATTTTAAAAAACCTTGTCGAAATGCGCACGCTCTTCTGGGAATTGTAGAGCGTTTTGGGTGACTTGAATGTTATTTTTTTCCTTTCATGGAATTAAGCCCCAAAAAAATTAAAAGAAACGGTGTTGTGTTGTGGTTAGCAAGGCCGACCGGAAATTGGGAGCTCCGGAGTTCAAATCCCGGCACTGCCGAAGATTTTGTCATTTTGCGGCTTCATGACCTTTGGTTTATTCGATCAGTATGGTTCACCCACCTTCTTTCTTTGTTAATATGCAAGTCCTACTATACACGTCTTTCGGCCCGGGTCGCTATTTGTACAATAGCAATCGCGCCACCCTCTTGCGAGGCGACTCACCAGTGTTGCCAACTGCTCCCATCTTTACTGACCAAAAGGTTAGACCTGGGCGGCAACCCTCTGAGGAACCTGGATCCCGACCACTTGAAAGACGTGCGTCCGCTGCGGGTGCTTGGCCTTGCCAAGTGCCAGCTGACCAGGCTACATTCCCTCATCTACCAGCACCTCTCGAATCTCGAGTCACTCGACCTTCAGGTAAAGCAACGCTCATTACGCTGAAGCTAATGCTTCACCAATACGTATTTTTTCCTTCTTTTTGTAATCTGCATTAAACGTAGACGCATAACTCTAAATTGGTCCCGAAGGACAATACCGCATGATCGCCTGGCCTTAAGGGCTGTCTAAACAGGACCAGACGCTTCCTGCTGTGTACTAAATAAAAAAAACAAAAAAGGCAGGACGACAGCGGAGGTTTTGACCACAGCCAGCAGAGTGTGTGACTGGCTACGACCTGCTTTACCTCATGAGCACACTCCGAAGCTTTGTCAAAGGACGCTTGCGGAAGGTGACTTTCTTGTGCCTTGTACACGATACTCAAAAAAATTAATGACTTACAATTACAATTATACTGAGTCAAGGCATTCGATTAGATCACTCGATTATTCGAGAAGAAAAGTCATTTCGTTGCTTGAAAAAAGTAACCGTCACTTTTGCGATTACTTTAGATTTCCAAAATGAGAGATTTTTCAGTGTCTTTGAAAACGAAGTTTTGGCACTGCCTATTAGTCAAGTACAATCACCGAATTAGAAGCTACTTATCTTTTTAATTTATTAATGTTGGTAGACTATACTCCTGTTGGAGACTTGGCTCTAGGATTTTTTAGGTAGGAAACTGGTGGAAACAAAGGGCACCATTAGAAAGGGGAGGAGAAAATAGTAACGGTACGAGTAATTCTGTACTCCCAAAAGTAATCAAATTACTCTTCCGATTACTTCCTAATAAATACAGTCAAGTGATTACGAAATTACTCCAATAAGTAATTGAATAGAAGTAATTTGATCACTTGCATTGAGTGACGCACAACTTTGCTTTCGCCCCGGCAATAATACGTTCCAAAAGCGGACCGAAAGTGGAGGGAGAGCCTCCGCTTCCATCCACAGCAAATGCCGTGCAGAGCAGAAAGCGTGGACAGGTCGTGCGTTCGTGTCCTGTGCCAGAAATGAGTTCGAAATGACACGCATCGACCGAACCACCAGCAGTGAAGCATAAATTTGGCAGTTGTGTGGTAATTTAGGAACGAGTTTTGCATGTGAGAATCTAACAATGCGGTGTGAAGCTATATTCTCGCATTTATTCAGAAAATGAGGCCCAAAGAAGCAGGGTGACAACCGAACAACCAGGCTGTGAAGCTTAACTTTGTCACTTGATAGTTTGGGGCCATAAGAGCTGGCTAAAGAATGTGACGTTAGGTTATACCTAGGCAGTATGCATTCCGGTGTTTATGTATTTATGTCCAAAATTGGCGGATGCTTTTCGGTGTTGATTTATTTCCGATATACCCGTGCATTTCGGTGAACTGTCTCGTGCAGACGCTTAAAACGGCTTTTATCGACGGAAAAACATCGGGAATAGAAAGGAACAATCAACACGAAAAGCGATTAAACTGTTATTTACATCTGATATACAATTGTAGGTATAAGGTTTAAAAGCGAAAACAGACAGGGACAATAGGAAATAACACAAACGACAGGGTCGTTTGTGTTATTTTTTTTATCGTTCCTCTCTGTTTACAATGGACGACATAGCCCAAACCAAAGTTTTATTGATATGCAGTGTTTTCTAACTTCAATATTGTAATATATGCATGCATACATTCCAAGGCTCGCATCGCCCGCTCCTTCCTGTTGACAACGCGCAATTTTGAGAACGCTCCCTCTACATTTGGGCTAGGCATGGGAAGTCCCAAAATATCCAAACAGGCTTCGGAGGTTATACTGGCCAGTCAGGTGAATGCAGCTTCCGAAACAGCACAGGGTCGACAACGGCACTGATGGTGTACTGGCGCTAATGGAGGAATTCAGCTTCCAGGGCGATGAACTTGCATTCATCGTGCACGACAAGCCTGTAAATGCTTTTATAGGGAACAAATTCCTTTGATAGCTCCATCTTGAAGCAAGGATTAACTATCTGCACCCGAAACCAGAACGAGTCATCCGTGAACTGCTCGTCGTCAGAGATGTCAGAATGGGAAGACTTATGCTGACACCACCTCAAAGTGACGACCGGAAAAAAAAAAGACTGAGTTTGACAAACGTTTACATCAGACTTTTTCAGTGAAAAACACAAACAAACAAACAAAAAACTGCCGCTTGTACGAATTTTTTTTTAAAACCACTATTTTTCGGTTTTAACCAATTTTTATTTTCGACATTGGGGAATATTTATTGGTGTTTTTCGCGTAAAACCGGAAAGTATACTGCCTGGTTATGCCCGGCGTTCCGTGTTTTCTGTGTTTCTTCATTACAAATTCGGAGGTGCTTTTTGGTGATTTTTTTTACCCAAACGTTCGGTGTTTTTTTATGTCGATTCTTGGTATCTGACAAAAATCAAAATTTAGGTCAGCGTGTACTTCGAAGAAAATAAGGCAGGGAAACAGAATTCCCCTTCTCCAGGGAACAAACGCGTTACCTGAATACTTAGAAGCATGTTGAATTAACCTGAGACTGGGGTAGAGAAGAAACATCAAAACGTAAAAGGGACAGAAATTAGGCAGGACGAAGTGCTTGAGACGTTGTCCTGTCTATTTTCTGTCCCTTCTACGAGACGTCGTCCTGTCTATTTTCTGTCCCTTCTACGTTTTGATGTTTCTTCTTTACCCCAGTCTCAGGTTAATTCAACATGGTTAATATACACCAGCTCGCCTGCACCCTTACCATTTTTACTTAGAAGCAGTCCTGGTACCGATAATAGAAACAAGATGAAGTGTGTGGTTCCAAAGAAAAATGGAACCGAAGGCGATCGCGGAAACTAGGAGCCGTTTTCGCGCTTCAAACTTATGACGTCAGCTCGCTCCAAGAAAAAGTTAATGCTTTCGCATTAATAACCAGACTTACAGGCAGTTCAGTGGCAGCTGTGCTCCGGGTCGACAAAAAGTAAACTTTGTCGATAAGGATTTCTTCACGTGAGTTCTGTGTTCTTTTCATTCGATGACAGCTTAAATTCGTTTTCTTTTTTTTCTGTTTTCCACAATTCTGATAAAACCAGCTCGGGGATAATTTTCGGTGCTTATGGGTACTTAACGGAAAAAATACACAGAACACTAGATCATATACCTGGGTTTTTTGGGGGCTTTAAAGACCCTAAATAAACCTTTTTTAAAAAGTGCGCGGCAAGCCTATTACCCGAGTCCGCTGTTGCTTGAGCACGCTGTCTGAGCATGTTTTGGACACGAGACCTGAGTGAGCGTTTGGCGTGAGCTCGGCTAAGCTCGTCTGAAACACGAGTGCTGCGTCAGTGTCCGGCGGGGACAAGGGTTCAGTCACACGTCTCGTGCCCAAGCAATGGCGACCACCAATGTTGCTTGATGGGGTTTGAAAAGGGTCTATATCGCCGGACAAAAAAAGAACAACAAAAAAACAACGGCATCTCCACGTGGTGAATGATATTGCTTGGGGCGACGCTGTGGTGGTACTTGTCTGCGTAGACGCTGAGCCGCAGCATGCCGAGCCTTTCGTTCGTTTCATCCATGTCAGGCTGCGGTCAAATGCCCAAATGCGTATATAACTACGTTCCATACCACACATCCTCTTCTGCCATGGTCGAAAACGAACGAAAGGCTCGGCATGCTGCGGCTCACCGTCTACGCAGACAAGCACAACCAGAGCTTCGCCCCGATCAACATCATTCACCACGTGGAGATGCGGTTTTTTTTTTGGTTTTTTTTTTTTGCCCTACACGAGCACGGGAGTACGTGCTGACGTGCTTGTGACCCGACGGCGGTCGGACATACGGACATGGCTATCCCCTAAGGAGCTTCGCCCTTAAAACATATTTCGGCCCAAAAAGCTGTGCTATTTGCAATGCAATACTACAATAAGGGGCTTCCGTGTCCAGGACAACCAGATCGCCCAGCTGGCGCCAGAGGAGTACCGGCACTTGCGCAAGATTCGAATCCTCCGGCTGGACGGAAACCGGCTGGAGAGGCTTCCCGAGCGCATCCTGGACGGGCACTCCCTGAGCCAGCTCGGCCTCTCGAGAAACCAGCTGGCAACCCTGGCGCCATGCGCCTTCTGCAACGCTTCCGTCGAAGACCTCGACCTCTCTCGCAACAGAATCACGGTACGCGTGGGTCCATTCTCCTGGCTGCTTTCAGCTAAGCACTACCTTTAATCGCGGAAAATTTTCTGTGGCATTTCAAGGGAAGTGTAAAGAGCGGCAGCATGTCGTAGATGGGCGATCAAGATGTGGAAGTGGACGCACATCCGTAGCTTTCATTGCAATGTTCTTCGATTTATCAGTTCGCAGGCTCCACGAAGAGCGTGGTCCGAAAGTGGTTCTCTGTTACCTGTACGCGAGCAGTTACGAGCGGATAGCGTTCCTAGCGCCACAAGCGGCAACACCTCCACGGGCATCGGAGAAGGAGCGTTTCTGAACGTTGCTCTTTTTTTGCCAACGTTTTGCGCAAACTTTGTTTACCGTAAAAACTACAATAGAATCATTTTCCCCCGCAGGCAATGTGAATACAACGTTCCCCCGGTTCCTTCGCTTCTATCCATAGGGCGGGCTGACATAAGGTTCCTACTGCCTGATAGTGTAGCGAGCGCCACCGAGCGGACGCGCCGCAATAAGGCGCGATACGTCCTATAGCAAGCTTGTCAACTCTCTTTGATCTAGCAACTTCTCTAGATCTACCTTGTCAACTTTCTTTGATTTTGTCCACGGGTATAACTTGTCTGGGGAAAATATATACACAGGGTGTTCAAAAACAAATCACAGGGTTTTTTCACCGTAAAAATAAACTATTCATGGCCGAACGCTCATTCTCCGCTGAAAGGTAGCGCTAGAGATCCGAACCAGATGCCAAAGTTCCAGCACGAACCGATACGTTATTTTAAAAAGTTGAAAACATTAATGGGAAAATGAGGCCCATTTTCGCCCGTTTTCGGTGTCTGGCGCCTATAGAGCTCCATGTGTTCGAGAGCTCTGTCGGCCACCATTTCCCAATTGACATTTTTAGAAAATCACTTATAACTTTTGAATAAAATATTGGTTCGCGCTGAAACTTTGGAATCTGGCTCGTACTTTTATAGCGCTACCTTTGGGCGAAAAATGGGCATTCGGCAATGCGTAGTTTATTTTCGCGGTGAAAAAAAACAAACACTTCAATTTATTTCGGGAACACTCTGGTAGTTTTGATTGAAAAAAAATTTAATATCCCCGTTCGCGAGGTGAGCACTTGAAATACATTTGATATTGGCAATGTGAGGGAAAAAGGTTAAACCACCGCACGGTAGTTTAGAATGTTTCATTTCCACTGCGTGGTAGTTTAGACTGCAAATTTCAGTCAAGGTTTTCAGTTCTTGAAAAATCACCGTTAAAATAAGGCCCCGGTCATATATCTCATACGTTTATCGACTAATGGTTGGAGAAACAAGCTCTTGCGAGTAATTAATACCAAAACAATATTACTCTTCAATGATTAGAACCTTCTGTGGAGAATCGCAGGATTAGAAAATGTCCCAGAACCCAGTATAGGTCCTTCGTCAGTCAAGCGAAAAAAAAACAAAAACGAAGCGCCTTGTGTTTGTCTTACTTCGTCTTGGTACTTGTTTTCGGCGGTTTTATACCTCTTAAGGCCATAAACCAACTGGCCCAAATAGACACCTTGCTGAAGTTACCAAGTTCCTTGCTGAAGTTGCGAAGAAACTTCTCCCTAAAGTCTTTCTTGATTTGGCGGTCGTCACCTATGTTTATAGCTACACATTGATATGTTTCTAATGTCGCTACTACTACTTAACAAATACGAGACTGTCTTATTGTATGTGCGTCTTGCTTCCTGATTCGTTCTTCGCCCTTCTTATAAGCGCATGCTCCAACCTCATTGGTTGTAGAGCGCTAATAAGATTTTCTAGACCCGCCACGCCCCCCCCCCCCCCCCCCCCCCAGCAATTCTTATGCTGTAGTCATTCGTGTGCTACAGTGATCCTAATTTGAGACAAACATTCTCGAAGTCATGAGATTTTTATACAAAAATCTAAGAATAATGATGCTGTTTTGTTTACAAAGATAGTCTTCGTGTTAACTCAACAAATATTAGTAGTCTGGGTAAACCCAGAAGCTTGTAACGACCGCCAGAAAGGGGGAGAATATTTAAATGAGGACCCTGGAGCATTTTGTGAATGGGCATGTATTTTTTCCCTCAAATTTCTTATCACTGATTTTAAGAAAGTTTCGTTTGTTCAAGGGATAAGGTCATGAATATGACTGGGGTTCCGTGTTTTCGGTGAATACCGATGAACCCCGATAAATTACCCCAGAAGTGTTTTTCTCGGATTCGGGAAAAACCGACACAACCCGGATCGCGGAGATGCCCTTGAAAGGGGAAATATCCATGGGTTTAGAAAAATACAATTTCATATGCATTATTATTATTATTATTATTTTTTTTTTTTTTTGTAAACCTGCACACGACTCGTATCAGCTGTCCTTGGGGTTGCTTCTTTTTCGGGGAACTACGTCCCTTGCCGCGTCCTGTTGCCGTTGCCGAGATGACGTTTTTCAACTATTGGGGTCATGGCAGTAACTCCGATAGACCCTGGAAGAAAAGAAAACACGGGGGGGAGGGGGAGGGCATTAAAGGTCACAAATGTATAGATATGCGGTGTTTTTATAACATTAGCCCACATAAACCCTGACGTTTTCGCTGGCACTCGAAATAAACTCCAAATTTAAACAGAAAATGAGCCCCGAAAGAAAAAATTCATTTGCAATAAAACAAAAATCGGAAACAAGGAAGTTAGTTTTGAAAACCCGACAGGTTTGGGTCAGCTCAAATAAAACAGCTGAAAGGTTAATCGATCAATTAACATTTCGATTAATCGACCGACGTATTAAATCGCGATCGTTCATTCAACTGGTTAATCGGATAGGAATTATGAGGTAGATATATATAGGGAGAAAGTGAAAAGTTTTCACCACTTGGTGCACATTTATAACCACTTTTACAGTGCAGTGAAAGAAGAGTCAGGGTACAGGCGAGCTGCGGTATACTAAGCAACATAATTAAACCGGAGGCACGGACAGAGTAGGACACAGGTAACACTCCCTCAGGCACACCTAAAAAGGTTTATTCAGAACACCTTCCCTTCATAGCAAATAAACCTTAACCGACGCAAAAGTGGAAAGACAGCAATTGTTAGTTTCAGCAAAACGGAGACCACTCATCGCTTACATCTAATCACTTAAAACCTAAGAACCCAACAACCTAAAAAATGACAGAACAAAGTCTAAAAACTACAACAGCAAAAACAGCCGCACTTTTTTGTCAACGACAACCGAAGGAACGCTAACACAGTTTCCTGCGGACGTAATTCTAATTGTTTCCTTTACAACGGGTTTAAACGGATCAAATTCTTTGAAAACTATCTCCGTCAAATTCCACTCGGGAACGCAATTGATACACTAATAAAGATGCTTGACTATTTCGGAGTTGGGCGACTTTGATAGCAGTCCTCTTTTGTGCTCTAGGGGCCTTTCAATAACACAACGGCCAGTCCGCCCTACATAAGAAAAGCCACACGTCATAGGAATATCATAGACGACACCTTTTTTTGCACGCTATGGCCGGATCTCTGTGCTTTTTTCCACTCTTGATGTACTCCCAAAAATGGAGTCAACCGACTAAGGCGGAGATCGTTTTTTGAAAACTACTCTAACGCCAAACCGCGCTGCCAAACCTTTCGAATTCTGAGAGATGCCGTGAAAAACCAGAAGACACGCCCATTTCTCTGACTTCTCTCTCTTTTCTTCTCCCTTCATTCCAAGGTTAATCAAAAGCTTCCTTGCGACACTCAAAATGAGGCCTGGGTTATAAACTGATCGCACCAACCGCGAGAACTTGACAGAATAGGCGTTACTCAAAAACAAAAAAGAGCACAAGACTTTTCCATGGCATTTTGAAGAAAGAATGACAGTCTTTGGGTGGCAAATTTGGTACCGCAAAATCGGTTTCGGCGCGTCTTTTCTGTAGCGCTAAGATTAACCGACCAGAAGAAGGAAGTTTTATATCCAGAAACTGAAGAAACCACTAACAGCCCTCTCCGGAGTGAAACCGATTTCCGGAGCCAAACTTTGAATGAAAGCGATCCACTCAGTCCTTCAAAAAAGGAAATAAAGATATCATTCACATATCTTCTTACAATCGCGCATCCAGGCCGCAACGACTGGAATTCCACATGAACCCCTTGATCAAAAATGCCAAGTGAAATTTCTGACAAAACGGGAGCCAATGACGACCCGATACAAACACTGTTTTTGTGCAAAAGTGTGCCCATCCACTTCCATCGCCGTTGACCTAAGATACAGATCTACACGGGGAGATGCAACTACCTACATCAATGCCCGTCTGTGACTGAAACCTAACCTGGTTTTCTTGCAATCAATCTTTTACCCTATGAACGAGGACCGATTTGTCAAGTGAATAGTATAATTCTTTTACATCGAATGACAGAACTTCATAACGTCTTGAATGGTGACGGCTTAGGCTTGCTATTAATTCTTCAAAATTCCGAAGTGAAAAAAGGTGATAAACCTTGAGAACATTCGAACAAGACTGAAGGAAGTTCGACAGAGTACCCTGCAATGTACCATTCTCATTAACTACAATCCAGAAAGGCAATCGCGGTTTATAGTCATTTAATAGAAACTTCACAGACAATGCCGTTTTCGTGGCTCCAGTCACTTTCGTAACTACCGTTTTCATTTCACACTACTTCAAAATGTTCCCTTCACACCTCTTAAGCTTCTGCAAATTTTCAGTGTAAGGCTGAAAAAGGCCCTCTGCGACTGACTGAACTTTTTCTTCGAAACACACAACTTTCATAACCGCAAGTTTACTACGAAATTAACTTCGAAATTTACTCAGAATTTTACGGTCTAACCTTTCTGAAATTCTTGAGTGAATACGGTATACGAAGCGTCTACTAACCTAGTCATGACTTTCAATGCCTGGTTGTCGAAGCCGGACCTCTCCTTTTCACCACTAATTCTGCTTCCTACAGAATTCACAGAAACGACAGTGTCCCTCCTGGAAGGCTTGATGGTGGGGCAAAACTTGGGAC